CCTTATCCCCAGATTTGTCCCAAATTATTTAAATATAATACAGTAATCTCCCTGGTATCCGGTACCCATAGATTGGTAGATTCCAGATAAATGTAGTTTTTGGTGGTTTGAGAGTTACTCTTAAAAATAGGCCTAATTCTTTTTTTTTTTTTTTTTTTTTGAGACAGAGTCTTAAGATTGCCTTGGGTAGAGTGCTATGGTGTCATAGCTCACAGCAACCTCCAACTCGAGCTCAAGCAATCCTCTTGCCTCAGTTTTTCTATTTTTAGTAGAGATGGGGTCTCACTTTTGCTCAGCCTGGTCTTGAACTCATGAGCTCAAGCAATCTACCCATCTTGGCCTCCCAAAGTGCTAGGATTATAGGCATGAGCCACCATGCCTGGCTGAAATAGGCCTAATTCTATACCCTGAACTATACCATGCCATATCATAAACTCTGTATTGACTTGATATTAATATTGAAATATCTAATTAAAAGCAAATTAAGACAAAAACAAACCTCACATATGTAACACAGTTTTATTGTATTTTAAAACATGTTTGTGCATGCAGTGTACAATTTTAATTAAATGGCAGTCAGTACACTTTTCAACTTCACTAATATATATATATATTTGCAGACAGATTCTCAAGCTATTGCCCTGGGTAGAGTACCGTGGTGTCACAGTTCACAGCAACCTCAAACTCTTGGGCTTAAGTGATTCTCTTGCCTCAGCCTCCCAGGTAGTTGGGACTACAGGCACCTGCCATAATGCCCAGCTATTTTTTTTTTTTTTTTTTTGGTTGTAGTTGTTGTGTTTGGCAGACCTGGGCTGGATTTGAACCCACCAGCTCCAGTGCATGTGGCCGGCGCCCTAGCTGCTGAGCTACAGGCACTGAGCCACTACTATATTTTTTTTAACTTCGAGTAACACACATTAACTTAAAACTTACAGAGAACACATGGGAGTCGAGGGAGTGATGCACAAAGTACAAAGCGTGGGCATGGAGCACCAAGTTTAAACTCTTGTTTTTGCCGAGTCAAATGCTGATTGCTTGAGAGTGCTGGTTGCTTGATTTCCGGATACCAGGAAGTCTATTGTAACTGTCTCTCAGGTTAATTTAATTTGCAGAAAGAATCATTTATAAGTCAATCTGTTTCCCCCTGTCCATTCCAGCACCATTTGTTCTCCCTAAACAGAATTACTTGTACTCCTATCTCCTCCCCTCCAAAACAGCAGGTATAAAAAGATCTGAACTTCATTGAGATATTGAGTAATCACTCTGTGATTCTCCCCATGTGCATAGTCAATAAACCATTCTTCTATTAACCTGCCTTAATTATGAGTTGATCTTCCAGCAAACTTTCAGGAGGATGGATGAAGTTTTCCTCACGCCTACACTTCCTTGAACATGTATTTGTTTTGTTATGTACTTTAACATGATTTCCCTGGTGTCAAATGAATACTCCTTTCCCAGATGCTTATTAGTAATTTTTCAAGTGTTTGTTTACTCTCCTATTGAAACATCTCCAGGGAAGGTGGTGGTTTGTCGGCATACTTGCTTACTTTCTTGGAGAGAATTCTCTTCAATTCCACAGATACTCATTGGGTGCTTAAGATATGGTCATTGCTGTGCTCCTTGGAAAACACAAAAGCAGTGTATCAGAACCAAGTATGTCTTGGTTCTGTGGGAACTTCCAAATTTATGGGATGGGAGCAAGATGGATATAAAAAGGGCCACGACTAGGGTGAGGCAGACAAGGCACCACAGTACAAACATAAAAGAAGCATTCACTCCCAGGGTCATGCAGATGCAGGGTAGGTACCTGAGTGCCTCCTTAAATTTTGAGAACCGCCTTGCTTGTCTTATCCTGGTCCTGACTGGAGACTTAAGAAGCAGTTAGATCACTTGGAAAGCATGTCTAAGATAACACCAGACAAAGAACGTGTGGTACGGAACAGTTCTTCTAAAATTTAATGTACATGCCAATCACCTGGAGATCTTACTAAAAAGCAGATTCTGATTCAGTAGGTCTGGAATGGTGCCTGAGATTCTGTATGTCTGTCAGGCACTCAGATGATACTCATGGTAGTCCTTCACACTTTGAGTAAAAAGGAGAAAAATTCATGCTAGAGAAAAGCAGAGGACTAAATTAGTTAAGTTAGGGGATCAAGGAATGCTTCTCCAGTGAAGGTATTAGAGCTGAGTTCTCTAAGGGTAACGTGGATTTGGAAAGAAAAAAAATAAAAAGAGAGTGAAGGGCTTTGCAAACAGAAGAAAGACTGTGCAAGGGCCCAGAGACAGGAATGAGTCCCATGTATTTTGGAACAGTGGATAGATGGGCGTAGCAAGGTGCAGGTTCAAGTTGGAAAGGAAGAAGAAAAGGGTTTTGATACATAGCATGAAACCTGTGCTTTGTTCCTTTAGAAATGTAATCTTTTTTTTTTTTTTTGAGACAGAGTCTCACTATGTCACACTCTGTAGAATGCCATGGTGTCAACTCACAGCAACCTCAAATTCTTGGGCTTAAGTGATTCTCTTGCCTCAGCCTCCCAAGTAGCTAGTACTACAGGTGTATGCCATAACACCCAGCTATATTTTTGTTCCAGTTAATCGTTGTTTTAGCAGGCCTGGGTCGGGTTTAAACCCACCTGGCTCAGTGTATGTGGCCAGCACCTTAATCACTGAGCTATGGGTGCCAACCCAGAAATGTGATCCTTCATTGTCTTCTTAGGTACTTTCCAGCTGGGCCTTTTCATTTTTTTTCCATCCACTTGTCCCTTCTAAGAATATCTGACCTCTGTCCTGGGGTGATGAAAGCCTGAGTCTCAGGGCATCTTAATAAATTCTGTGAGGCAATGTGTGGGGTAGGAAAAGGAAGGAGGGTGGTGACTTTATTACCTAGATTGGTTGGGTAAAGCCTAGGGAAGTTTTTTTTTTTTTAACTTAGCTGGAAGGTACAGAAACCAGAAAGCCCTCCTTGTTATGGGCATTTCCAGTACACTTACATAAAGGATGCCTAGGCTTGGCACCTGTAGCTCAAGTGGCAAAGGTGCCAGCCACATACACCGGAGGTGGTGGGTTTGAATCTAGCCCGGGCCTACCAAACAACAATGACAATTACAACCAAAAAATAGCCGGGCGTTGTGGCGGGGGCCTGTAATCCCAGCTACTTGGAGGCTGAGGCAAGAGAATCGCTTAAGCCCAAGAGTTGGAGGTTGCTGTGAGCTGTGACATCACAGCGCTCTACCCAGGGTGACAGCTTGAGACTCTGCCTCAAAAAAAAAAAAAAGGATGCCTAGTAAATACATGCTGATTTGACTTGTTAGTAGAGTGGAGGAATATTCCTTGAGCCCAGTTCTGTCTGTTTCATTTCAAACGTTCTATTTCCAGTATTTTTCTGAAGTTACTGCAACAGTGGGAGACTGGACCTTGAACATCTTAAGTACTAAGGGAATATTTGTTAATTGATTCATGTGAGGGTTTCTAGGATCTTGTCTATGTTTTCCAGACAGTACAACATTTTCAGCTCAATTCAGTAAAAGAACGCATTGGGTGACTTATATACTGAGACTTGGATATGCTTCTGTGTAGCCACAAGGAAATAGAAGACTTGAATCCTGAATTCAAAGAATTTAGTATTATTTTAGAGCAATAGTTTTTAGCTGGGGACAAGTTTTGTCTCTCAAGAGACATTTGACATTAGACATTCTTGGTTATTTCATCTGGGAGTATAAGACATCTCCCCTCAACAAAGAATTAACTACCCCAACATACCAGTGGTGCCAAGGTTGAGAAACTCTGCTCTAAAAAGACAAACTACCAAATTGAGGCTGGGCATGGTAGCTCTTGCCTGTAATCCAGCAATTTGGGAGGCCAAGGCAGGAGGATTGCTTGAGGCCAGGAGCTTTAGACCAGCATGGGCAATATAGCAAGACCTTATCTCTATAATAAAAATTAGCTGGGCATGGTGCCATGTACCTATAGTCCTACCTACTTGGGAGGCTGGGGCAGGAGTATTCCTTGAGCCCAGGAGTTCAAGGTTACCATGAACTGTGATCGAGTCACTGCACTCCAGTTTGGATGACAGAGCGAGATCCTGTCTCTTAAAAACAAAAACCAATAAAAAAAAAAACTACCAAATAGAACTAGAACTTTTAGGGTGGAAGATCTTACTCTTAGTTAATAGTAGGGCAAGAACTAAAGCTCATTTTGCCCATGTCCAGTGTTCTGCCTGCTACCAGAGGGCCATTTAGAGTGAGATGGCATTATATGACAGGTTAATCCTAATTCATAGTTTTTACTCCAGCCATAATCAATTATTTGTATACTATGCAGTTTTTTTTTTTTTTGAGACAGAGTCTCAAGCTGTCACCCTGGGTAGAGTAGCATCATAGCTCATAGCAATCTCTAACTTGGGCTCAAGCGATCCTCTTACCTCAGTTTTTCTATTTTTAGTAGAGATGGGGTCTTGCTTTTGCCTGAGCTCAGCCAATTCATCCCTCAGCCTCCCAGAGTGCCAGGATTACAGGCATGAGCCACCAGGCCCAGCCTATACTATGCAAATTTATTCTTTTCTGTCCATGTTAGTCCTTTTCCCTAGAACATAGTTCTCTCATTTTTTCATCTGGGTAATATTTCACATCCCCAAGAATGCTTCTCTAATCTGTAACACCTCAGATTGGTTTAAAACCTACTTATTTATTCTTCCATAGCAAATCTTTATCATATAAAAAATAAATTTTCTGTTTATGTGTCTGTTTTCCTCACTAAGCTTTAAGTATCTTGGAAGTTAGGACTCTTTCACTGTTCAGTTCTGATTGCTTAGGAATACACATTCAATCATAGAGATGGACCAAACTAAGTAGACAGAGAGAGATGAGTATGAAATAGAGTGTTGGGGAAGGCTTCATTGAGTTTTTAAGACTTGATGATATTGATGAATACATGAACACCTTATACTGGGCAGGAAAAATTCTAAGACAGTAATGGATTTTTTTGGTGGTGTCTTTCTACAGGTTGATATGTCAGACCTCTCCCCAGAGGAGCAATGGAGGTAAGTATGGCAGTACGGGCCCCACAGACTGGGAACCTCAGGTTAACTCAGCAAATAGAGTTGTATATCTACCCTCTTTGCTTCTCTGTCTGTGAGAGGCAGTGGCTTATGACTGGCGGGACAGGTCTGTTGGAATCTTTCCAAGTACCTGGGTCACTCCTGGGTTGCTCTTTCAGGTCTAGGGAGTAAGTAGTAAATCACATCAAACCATCTGTTTGAGTTTGAATACCAGTTCTGCCATTTACTGGCTATGCGATCTGAGGCAAGTTATTAACTTCTCACTACCTAAGTTTGCCCCATTTGTAAACTGAGGACCATAATAGTACTAATAAAGTCGTGAGGATTAATGTATATAGAATTCTTAGAACAGTGCTTGGCATGTTGTAAACTTCCAGTTAAGTGTTATTGGCTTTGAAGATGATTATTATTAAGATTATCATCATTACCTGTGATACAGGATAGAGAGCACTGGTTGAGAAAATGGGAGGGGTGTCTTCTGATCTCACCTCTGCTACTGACTTGCTGTGTAACCAGAATGAGTCAACAAATGTCTTATTGTTGTCATTTCTTGTTAGTAAAGAGGTTTCAGAGTGCCGTTCCACAAGCAGGCTAACCAATGAGCTGATAGCACTTAAGAGTGAGGAAAAAAACCCTTCATTTAGATTAAAACTATCGATTTCAAAAACAGAATAGTGAAGATACCAATTCATATGACAAACCCAGCCTGATTTTAGGTGACTTTAAGCTCAGTATACACCAGTTATGTACTTTAGCTACCAAAATATTCTGATATAATTTAGGTGATAGTCATAGAAATATGCTATCTGCCAGAGGGAAGGTAACAGTGCCATTGTGCTCTGCTTTGCTGAGGTCACAAGTACTTTGTTCTAAGCACTGCATATGAAGATCTTTTTTTTTTTTTGAGACAGAGCCTCAAGCTGTCCCCCTGGGCAGAGTGCCGTGGCATTACAGCTCACAGCAACCTCCAACTCCTGGGCTCAAGCGAGTCTCCTGCCTCCGCCTCCCAAGTAGCTGGGACCACAGGCGCCCGCCACAACGCCCGGCTATTTTTTGGTTGCAGCTGTCATTGTTGTTTGGCGGGTCCGGGCTGGGGATTCGAACCCGCCACCTTAGGTGTACGTGGCTGGCGCCTTAGCCGGTTGAGCTATAGGCGCCGAGCCGCATATGAAGATCTTTAACTGGATCATGTCTAGAGGAAGGGAACCAGAATTACAATAGTCTTTACATCATGTTATATGGACAGTGGTAAAAAGATCTGGAACTCTTAGCCTAAGAGGGCACAGGATAGTTTTGTTTTGTTTTAATAATATCATAATGAATTTTCGAAGGAATGGTGTTGGGAAAGAGGAGTAGATATGTCCTTTGCCGTTACAGGGTGCAAAGGACATGATGGATTGAAGGTATAGGAAAGTAGATTTTTATCTCCTTATCAGAAATGTCTTTTTGTTGTTGTTTTGAGACAGAGTCTTACTTTGTTGCTCGTGGTAGAGTGTTGTGGTGTCACACAGCAACCTCAAACACTTGGGCACAAGTGATCCTCTTGCCTTAGCCCCCCACGTAGCTGGGACTATAGGCACTCACCACAATGCCCAGATATTTTTATTTTTTATTTTTTTGAGACAGAGTCTCACTATGTCGCCCTCAGTAGAATGCTGTGGACTCACAGCTCACAGTAACCTCAAACTCTTGGGCTTAAGAAATTCTCTTGCCTCAGCCTCCCAAGTAGCTGGGACTACAGGCGCCTGCCACAATGCCCGGCTATTTCTTGGTTGTAGTTGTCATGTCATTGTTGTTTGGCAGGCTCGAGCTGGATTTGAATCCGCCAGCTCTGGTGTATGTGGCTGGTGCCCTAGCCGCTGAGCTACAGGTGCCAAGCCTGCCCAGCTATTTTTAGAGATAGGGTCTCGCTCTAGCTCAGGCTGGTCTTGAACTCCTGAGCTCAGGCAACCCACTCACCTCCGCCTTGCAGAGTGCTAAGATTATAGGCATGAGCCACCATTCCTGGCCAGAAATATCTTTAATAGTTAAGATGTATTAAAGTAGTGAATGTTCTGTCCGTAAAGCTTCAGGATTTAATTTATAAGCAAATATGGGTACCTACAATGTGCTAAGACACTGCTAGTTCTAGAATAGACTACCTTAAGAGGTATGTGTTTTTCACCAATGGAGTATTTAAGCAAAGGCTGGAAACATAATTTTTACATTGGGTGGGAACTTGAACAGAATGATTTCTCTGTTCTTTTCTAGATTCTTTTATTTTTCTTTAAATACTCTAAACTGCTGGCTCAGCACCTATGGGTCAAGTAGCTAGATGCCAGCCACATACACCTGAGCTGGCAGGTTCGAATCCAGCCTGGCCCCTCCAAACAACAATGACGGCTGCAGCCCCCAAATAGCTGGGCCTTGTGGCATTGGCAGGTGCCTTTAGTCCCAGCTACTTGGGAGGCGGAGGCAGGAGAATTGCTTGAGCCCAAGAGTAGAGGTTGCTGTGAGCTGTAATGCCATGGCACTCTACCCAGGGTGACAGCTTGAGGTTCTGTCTCAAAAAAAATAAATAAATAAACTGCTTCAGAATAGATCTTTTCTTTGATTTCATGTTGTGCACATCCATTAGTATATATTGTCTGAGAAAAAGAAACTTATCTCTTGCTATCATTTTAGCTCTCCTTAGCCCTTAGTCATCAAGTGTTCTCTACCCTCAGCTTAGCTCATCCTTATAACAGTCCTATGAAGCAGGCAGAAAATATAAGGACTCCTTTTGACAGATGAAGAAATTGTGATGTAGAGATGTGAGGTTTCTTGGCCAAGACCATATAGGTAGAGCTGAACCTAAGTTTCTGACTTTCTATCCTATTCTCTTTCTGTCATATTCTTCCAGCTAGAATACAGTTTTATGTGAGATGAACCCTTCGGTGCTAAGGCTGGCTGACTGGCATTTGGCTTCCCACTTTGCCCACCAAGCCTACCCCCTTTACATTTTATTATCAAAAACTTTAAACATGTAGAAAAGCTGGAAAAATTGTACAGTGATGAATACACTTATACCTACCACCTAGATTCTACCATTATATTTTTGCTTTATTTGTTTTATTATTTATCCATAACTCATCCCTCTGGGTTCTTTTTAATTTTAGTATTTCATTGCTTTTGGGAATTCCATGAAGACACCATTTATGGTGTCCTTTCCCTTCCTCCCAAATACCCTGGTGTAATGGGAATTTGTATAAAAGTTTCTGACTGTGAGCTACATTTATATTCAGTTTTCCCTCTAACTTATTTCTCATACCTCTCCCTTGGCTGACTGTGACCCAGAGTGGTAGGAATAACTGTTCTTAGAAGAAGTTTTTTGCCAGTCGTAGCCCAAGGAATCACTTGCTGCCAATTCTTGAGAATAGAAAAAATGAAGAGCCAGGTGCGGTGGCTCATGCTGTTAATCCCAACATTCTGAGAGGCCAAGGAGGGTGGATTGCTTGAGCTCTGGAGTGGAGACCAATCTGAGCAACAGCAAGACCCCCATCTCTACAACTAGCCAGGTGTTGTGGCAGGTGCACATAGTCCCAGCTGCTTGGGTGGCTGAGAAAAGAGGATCACTTGGATCAACCCAAGAGTTTCAGGTTGCTGTAAACTATGATGCCACAGCACTCCACCGAGGGCAATAAAGTGAAACACTCTGTCTCAAAAACCAAACAAACAGGTAAGACCAGAGAATGCCAGCCTTAGATTACTAAAAAGTTTCCAGCTGTACTCTTGAATTACTGAACTTCATTGAGCCTTTGAGGAGGCTATATACCTGTGGATACTGATACTTTTGGATTATTAGTATAAAGTTGAAGCAATCCAGGTTTTTCAGGCTATCTCTGGCATTGGCAGAGAAGGTAGGATGAATAAAGCAAAACTTTAATACTGGAATCCATACACATTTGCAATGTTACTCCTTTATTGGTGTCATAAATATCATTGACTGTGAGTATGAGGCTTTCTGGCTATAACCTCTTTAGTTTACTTTCTCCTTCTAGTGTCAGGTTGAAGTCAGTGTGAAATGGGCAGTGATACAAGCTTCTCCTGGAACTAACTTCCTGCACTGGAACCATGTCAACTATTTTTTTTATTTTTCCATGAGGGGGCAGGTAGCAGACCACCCACCTCTAATCCCAATATCTGACCTTGGTTGCTGGAGTGTATATAGCTTCTAGTCTGCCCCTAAATGGCCTGTTCTGTAGAGTATATGTTTTTCTAGCCCCTAATTTGCATGGTACCCTGCAGCTGCAAAGCACGGAAATGAGTTCTGATCTTTGGACTGGCAGGATATTCCTGGAAAGCACTGCTCCTTTATCCTCACACCATCCTTGATTTGGCTCACCCCATGTGTTTGGCTTTCAGGGTCGAGCACGCACGCATGCATGCCAAGCACCGTGGCCACGAAGCCATGCATGCTGAAATGGTCCTCATCCTCATCGCTACTTTGGTGGTGGCCCAGCTGCTCCTGGTGCAGTGGAAGCAGAGGCATCCCCGCTCCTACAATGTAAGCCACTTTGCCTCTCACTTCTTTGCTTGTTAGTCATCAAGAGAATTCCTAAATACTTCAGGGTATAACCTACCCTGGTGCATATAGACAGAGAAAGACAATGTAATGAACTTTATGTATGAGTGGTTAATAGTATATGGAGCAGTGTGTATCTAAGGGTAAAGTAATTCAGAGGATAAAAACCAGGTTAGAATGTGAAACTACTTCCATGTCCAGAAAATGTAGGTCTTTTTCTTTTATTTCTATTTGTATTTTTTCTTTTTAAAAATATAAATAAAAAGTTTATTTGGGCCAAATTTGAGGACTACAACCCAAGAGCATAGATTCAAGTTGCCCTAATTTATGCTTTAGGTCCTTTCTTTTTTTTTTTTTTGAGACAGAGTCTCACTATGTTGCGTAGAATGCTGTGGTGTCACAACTCACAGCAACCTCAAACTCTTGGACTTAAGCAATTCTCTTGCCTCAGCCTCCCAAGTAGCTGGGAGTACAGGTGCCTGCTACAAAGCCTGGCTATTTTTTTGTTGTAGTTGTTGTTGTTTGGCAGGCCCCGGCCAGGTTTGAACCTGCGTGCCCCAGTGTATGTGGCCAGCGCCCTAGCTGCTGAGCTACAGGCACCAAGCCTCCTTTCTTTTCTTTCTTTCTTTTTTTTCTGAGACAGAGTCTTATTTTGTCACCCTTGGTACAGTGCCACGGTGTCAGCTCACAGCAACGTCAAACACTTGGGCTCCAGTGATTCTCTTGCCTCTTGCCTCCCAAGTAGGTGGGACTACAGGTGTATGCCACAACGCTTGGCTATTTTTAGAGATGGCGTCTTGCTCTAGCCCAATCTGATCTTGAACTTGTGAGATCAGGTAATCGGCCCGCCTCTGCCTCCCAGAGTACTGGGATTATAGGCATGAACTACCACACCTGGCTGCTTGGGTCCTTATAAATGTTGTAGGAAAGATTCATGAAGGATATTCACTAAGAATTATGAGGTCCAGGCTGGATGTGGTGGCTCACACCTGTAATCCTAGCACTCTGGGAAGCTGAGTGGATTGCTTGAGCTCAGGAGTTTGAAACCAGCCTGGGCAAGAGTGAGACCCTGTCTCCAAAAATAGCCAGGCCTTGTGGCAGGTGCCCGTAGTCCCAGCTACTCAGGAAGCTGAAGCAAGAAAAATTGCTTGAGCCCAGGAATCTGAGGTTGCTGTTAGCTATGATGATGCCGCAGCATTCTTCCAAGGTCAACAAAGTAAGACTCTGTCTCAAAAAAAAAACTATAAATAAATAATGAATTATGAAGTCCAGCCAGGTGTAGTGGCTCATGCCTGTACTCCTAGCATTCTGGGAGGCTTAGGCAGGATTGCCTGAGCTAAGGAGTTTGAGACCAGCTTGAGCAAGAGCAAGACCCCATCTCTAATAAAAATAGAAAAATTGGCTCGGCACCTGTGGCTCAAGCGGCTAAGGCGCCAGCCACATACACCTAAGGTGGCGGGTTCGAATCCTCAGCCCGGGCCGCCAAACAACAATGACGGCTGCAACCA